ATATAAAGAAAACACAAAATAAAACCTTAATGCGCTGGCATCCCATACCCAATAGATTAGCAAATATTTTGATCTTTAATGTAGACTAATAAATGTGATGAGGACTAGAGCAACAAAACTTTCGTTCACTCTTGGGGTATAGTTATACATGGGTACATGCACGTTGGAAAATAACTCAGCACTACTTTATAGAGTTGAATGTATGCTTGCCAAATGACTCAAGAATTCCATTCTTAGGTATATACCCTAGAAAAATTCTTGCACATTGGGACCAAGAGATATGCACATAAATATTCAGAGCAGCATTACATGTAACTGCAAAAAAATCTGAAACAAACTATATGCCATTATACAGAAGATTAGAAAAATGAGGCTGTATTCATACAGTGGGATACTAAAAAATTTCAAATGAATGTGTTAAATAATGTTAGTCACCAACACAGTCGAGTCTCAGAAGTATAATGTTCAGTGAGAAACCTAAATCACAGAAGAATACGTACAGTATAGTGTTATTTATACAACGTTAAAAGATAGGAAAATGAAGCACTGTATTATTTAGGGATAGGTACATATACAGAAAATTATAAAGAACAATGCTGAATAACAGAAGTCATCATATCTATTCTTGATATTCTTCTGACTTTTCAGTATCAGTTATTATGTAATGTGCTTGCTACCCTTTCAGATGTGTAATGTTAACATATGTGGTATTGGAGTTTCCTGGAGCATTGTTGTCATCACTGGTGTTAAGAATGAATTAAGAACAAATGTTGACTTTTATCCAAACACTCTCCCATATCTATGTATGATCATTTATTTTTCTCCTTTACCTTACTAATGTGATGGGTTACATTAATAGATTTCTTTATGTTCAACCATTTTTATATTCTCCAATTACAGGATCACACTGTCATGTATTTCTTTCAACAAAATGATAGATTCTATTTGCTAGCATTTAATTTTGGAATTTTCTGCCTATAGTAATAGGTACAGTTGACATGTTGGGGTTTTTCTGTTGCCATTTTTTTACCTGTCTTTGGTTTCCAGGATATGTTCACATTGTAAAGTCAATTGGAAAGTTTTCTTTTTTCCTATATTATGGAATCATTTATATAGAGAGAAATATTTATTCTTTTAAGGCCTGAAAGCTCCCAATTGTAACACCACCTGGACCTGAAGTCTTTTTCAAGCAATTCTCTGACAACTTTAAATATTTGTTTTCAAGGTAATTGTTCTCTTCAGATTCTTTTTCACTACACTTCACATTTTTCCACCTATCTCAATGGCTGGAAGTCAAGGAAAGGACGTGGTTTCTTCACCCCTCCCCCCACGTGAAGGAGGGTAGAAGCAGGCTCAGAGGCACAGGAAAGATAATTCATGGAGGCAAAATAGTCAAGCACTTATGTGGGGGCAGGCGTGTGCTGCATGTGGGTGTCCTGAAGATGGCCATTAGCTTAGTAGCAACCTAAAGTCTCCAGGTTCTTGAAAGACAAAGATCCTTAATATCCAGAGCATGGAATCATTTTAGGAAGGAACCAATATTAGGTCCATTTATGCATTTCAACCTCTTTTGCTACAACCCCCAAAAAGCAATATAATCCACATTACCATGTAATTATACACACGCACACCACTGAAATAAAATTTTCACAAAAAAATACTTATCCTTTCTGCCTGTGAGTCACTCTGATCTATTCATTTTTTTTTAAATACTGTATAAAGCTCACTAAATTGTTTTCGTGACTTACTAAAGGATTGAAACTGGCAATTTGAAAAATACCACATTAGGGGCTTGATGAAGGATCTGTCCAAGTGGTGATATGTGAGTGGTAGCAAAGTGGAGGAAAGAATGAATAGGATGGGAATAGTTTATTCATCAAACAGGAGAGGTCAAGTCAATCCAGCACATCAGATGAACTTCTAAATGTATAGGGGTCACAGACCATCTTTTCCTGAATTTGCCCGTCTCATAGACTATCATTTGTTCCAGCCAAATTTCTTCTGAAATGGACTTTGTGGAATATAAAATACTATTTAAAATCAAAATAATCTTAATAACAGTATACTTAAGTTTCACATATGTCTTAATAGAACTTAGTCAATTCAAGGCTATATCTTTTCATACAGAGTTCCCAAATTTAGTAGCCTCTAAAATAAATCCAAAACATGTATTTAGTCAGCCTATATGCATAAGTAATATGACACCTGCCTCCGAAAGTGAAATTGGGGGAACTACACATTATCTGGGCCCACCTTAGAAATGTTGACACCTTTTCCGCTGCCTTGAAGGGATGTGGGTGGGTGAGAACTGACAGCAGCATCATAATCCACAGGCGTCTTGTAGTAAAATGAAAACAAGCAGTGAAATTGCCATTGTGGGAAAAATTTAATTACCAGGGAAGTCAGTTTTGCTTCAGAAATGACTAGGATAAAAATATATATATAATTTTAAATGCCAAACAATAGGCACTCAAATAAACCAAAATATCCTATCTGTAAGAAAACAAGTGAGGGCAGTTTGATGGGCTCCTCTAGCTGCTGCTGAGTCAATAATCGATCCATGTAGATGTCAGGTGCAGCTTTTACTGAGTTTTATTTCCAACATAATTGTGGTTTGCAAAGCAGCAGAGAGTATCTTGCAGTTAACCAGTTTCGTCGAGAATGAACACACAGTTCAAGAGAAAGGCCAGAACTTGCAGGCCATTCCCAAGTGGGAGTTTCAAGAGAACATGGGGAGGCGGCGTTGGTCACTTGCAGTATTATCTTTGCTAAGCTAAGTGTACTCTGTTGACAGCCTCCTTCTCCCTCCTGAGCCTCCTCTAGGAGTGTACCTCCAGAGAGCCATGCACCACAGAAGAGCCAGAATGAAGGTCAGATGCCTCCAGAGAGGGTTCAAGCAGCCCTCTGAGATTCACTGGAATCTGCCTCCTGGATCTGATTTCCTTTCACAGTGGATAGTACAGTTCCAGAAGCCCCCGACCTCTGGGTGAGCCTGGGAGGGCTGGATTCCAGAGTGGGAACAAGAAGAACACATGAGGAAAGACAGAGAGGGCAAGCCAACAGTTGAAAGTAAAAGAGCATCACCATGTGTCCGATCCTGGAGGGAAGGACAGAGATCCTGACAGGGGCCGAGGCAATGAGTCAGAAGGCAAGGAGGTCAGGATGGGAGCCGGAAAGCTGGGGGTGGGTAAGACGTGCCGGAAGTCAAGGCTCAGTGTGTGAAGACGGCAAGGGATCTGGGTGCTCACACTACTGGGGCCGGACGCACGGCAGGGACTGAGAGCTGTTTCGGACTCAGAGTTGGGCCTGACAATACTGTAATGTGGTCTCAGGCACCGAGTTGTCAGCCTGGGCTGAGGACGGCGAGAGTGGTGGAGAGGAAAGGAGTGAACACCTCTGTAAACCAGCTCCGCGGGCACCCTCAGCTGTCAGCCATCATCTCAACACCTTATGAGACCATCTCTCACACCTGACTGTGCACGGGGATCGCCTGGGCATCTTGTTAAAATGCAGATTCTGATGGGGCAGGTCTGGGATGGGGCTCGACATTACGCTTCTCCATCAAGCTCCCAGGAGATACCAATGCTCCTCATCTGAGAGGCACGCTCAGAGTCACAAGGTCCCATCGAAATTTTTTGTTCATTTTTGTTTTGTTTTGAGAGAGAGAGTGCATGCATGTGAGCTGGGGTGGAGGCAGAGGAGAAGGAGAAAGAGTAGACTCCCTGCTAAGCACAGAGCCCCAGGCCGTGGCGCTGGATCCAATGAACCTGAGATCATGACCTGAGCTGAAATCAAGGGTCTGACGCTTAACCGAAGGAGCCACCCAAGCACCCCGGTCCCTTACAAGTTTTTAAACTCCTCTGAGGTGCCCAGCATTGCCCATTGCTTAAATCACAATGCTACAGTTTCTGTCCCCTTGATGTTTCTCTTCAAGGGTTACAAACAACAATTCCTTAACTATATCTATAATTATACTCCTTAGAACACACGTACACACACCATATCCTCTTTATGTCACCATAATTAAATAAGGGACAGAATTCAAAACAGGACTTAGACATCCTGGTCTTCCTTACTGCATACCAAAGGCCTGGCTTGTAAGTATAGGGATCAGGACAGAATATAGCAATTGACGGAAGGGAAAGATGGGAAAAGATTAACATTTATTTAGGGTCCACCACGGACCAGATACTTACTGTGCTAGGTGGTGTTCACCATGGCTAAAAGCTTGCTGAACTCCTATATTCCAAGCCCTAGACTGAGGACTCGTCTCACATTCCCTCATCTATTTCTCACAACAAACCCAGGTGTTGTTACTTATTAAAACTCCCAGGGGCACCTGGGTGGCTCAGCCAGTGAAGCATACCACTGCTAACCGCAGCTCAGGTCATGATCCCAGGGTTATGAGATCGAGCCCCGTGCATCAGGCTCCACAAAAATGGGGAATCCACTTGGAATTCTCTCTTTCTCTCTCTGCCCCTCCCGCCACCTTCTCTCTCTCTCCCACTCTCAGGAAAAAAAAAAAAAAAAAAAACCTTACAAAAGAGAAATCCAGGGCTCTGAGGGGTTAAGCAGTTCCCTAAGGTGACGTAAGTGTTCAAAATGGGCAAGATGTGATCCCACCCAGTGAATAATAATCCAGGGAAATATTGTTAGTCCTGTTTTTTTTATATATATAGGAGAAAACAATTCATAGGTGGCAAACATGCTTTCAAAACTGCCCTAACCAAGAGGTTTTAACCCTTGCTGCAAATAGGCAGCACCGTGGGGCCTTTAAAAATAATTTCTCTACCCGAGCTTCACCCTCAACCAAGTAAGCCCCAATCCCTGGAGGCAGGACCTAGGCACGGGCATATTCTAAAAGTTCCCCAGGTGATATATTTTTAAAAAATTTTTTTAATTTGAACATGAGTCCTCCAGGACAGCCAACTGTAAAAGGGGAAGATGAGGCAGATCAGTCCCTGTCATCATGAAGGAGGTGAAGATCACATACCTGGAGAATGTGGTTTTACTGCACCCCGCTGCCAGGGCTCAAGCCGACTGCCATGTCTCCGTGGAGTCCGGCGGTAACGGAGGAACACTGCCTACAGGAAGTGGTCACTGAGCTGAACTCTGAAAGAATGAAAAGAATACAGCATGAAACAGATGACAAGGCCAGAGTTTGATGACCCCTGTTCACGTGTCCCTTTGTGCTGATGACTTTACTGCAGAAGAATCTGGTGAACCCGGTCGTAACAGTCAGGCCTCGTCAAGTTCAATGGTGTCTAGTTTCTCAGCACATCTTCTCCGGGAGTGGGTGGGTTTTGCTAATACCAAATTGTAGTTGGAAAAGTGTTTTCATTACCAAGGATTTACTTAATATGTTAGATAGGGTACAGCTTCAGACTCAGGAATGGTTTTGCTGGGCTTCCAACATTATGTCACTGTTTCACGGGAAGACCGTGACTTCCATTAGCATTGGACGTGAGCAGGTGTGAATGATACTTATCCAGGCAACTGCTTGCAAATGGAAATTAGCTGGAGTATGTTTAGTGTGAAGGTGTGTGTGTGTGCACAGATGTGGGCTGTAAAAAACAGCCCACCAGGGCAATGTTAACGGCCAAAGAAGTTGATGTAAACAAATCAACAGACTTATTGATGATTTAGTAGAAACAACCAGTTGCCCTGTCAGGGGGCATCCCCACTCTTCTTTATGGAGAAATGTCCACAGTATGAGAGGTAGATTGCAAGAAAGAGTTTAAAAATTATTTTTAATTCAAGAAATTAGTACAAATAAAAATTTTTTAAAGGATTAATACAGAGACTCTATTTGCCTTATAAAATAGTTTCCCTATACCTATAGGAGAACAAAGTATCTATCTTATCTACTGGTATGTACATGCATATCTTCACATACATTTTTCCTTAAATTGCTTTATCACGAGATTAGATGAACCACTGATATAATATCAGAAGTAGGAAGGGAGATATATCAGATATATCTTCTTCACCCTTAACACCCAACCCTCAGGAAAGAGAGTCTCAGGATGCAAAGACCTGAGCAGCAGCATGTTCGGTGTGAATGAGGGCAGCGGGGAGGTGGGGAGGCGGGGAGGCTAGGAGGCTGGAGCAGTCAGCCACAGAAGGGTGGAGGGAGAAGGGCCAGGGCCTCTTGGCCACATTAAGGACTTAGGTTTTTATTCCCTGTGTTTTTTGTTTTTTTTTAAGATTTCATTTATTTATTTGACAGAGAGACACCGTGAGAGAGGGAACACAAGCAGGGGGAGTGGGAGAGAGAGAAGCAGGCTTCCCGCCGAGCAGGGAGCCCGATGCGGGGCTCGATCCCAGGACCCTGGGATCATGACCTGAGCCGAAGGCAGACAATTAATGACTGAGCCACCCAGTTTATTCCCTGTGTTAAGAAATCACTCAAGGATTCTGTGCAAGGGGATGCTATTATCTGATTTCTATCTGGAAGGGATTTCTCTGGCTGCCCTGAGGAGACTGTGGAAGTTCAGAAGTAGAAGAAAAGGAAACAGGATGTTGTTGCAGGAAATCACAGAGATGAGGGTGCCAGCTATTCAGGTGGTGAGAAATGATGGGACAGGTTTTTGAAGACCGAGCAGATTCAGGACTTGATGAAGGATGCAGTGATGGAGAAAAGTCAAGAATATGCATTCAGGATGGATGGCATGTCACTCTTGAGATGTCTAGCACACATTCAAGTAGAAAAACTTTATAGGCTGCCAAATAGGTAAGTTTGGGGTTCAGAGGCAATGTCAAGGCTAGCAATATATGTTTCTGAGTTATCAGCATGCAGATGGTATTTAAAGTCAAGCAACTGGATAAGGCACCAAGGGAGTGAACAGGAAAAAAAGAGGGCCAACCGTGGGGCAAACTGACCTTTAGAAATCTGGATTACGAGAGGTGTCCAACAAAGAGAACTGAAAAAGTGTAGCCATCATACCATGAAAGAAAGGAGGAAAATCAGGAGTGTGGTAGATCAGCTTTCAAACTTTCTTCTTAGAACAGTGTAACTCCTTTCAAAAACTATTGCTAAATCTGGGCACCTGGGTGGCACAATTAAGTGTCCAACTCTTGGTTTCAGCTCAGGCTCTGATGTCAGGGTCATGAGATTGAGCCCCATGTCGGGCTCTGTGCTCAGCAGCAGAGTCTGCTTAAGACTCTCTCTGCTCCTCCCCCGTGCACTCTCTTCTCTCTAAAATAAGTAAGTCTTAAAAAAAAAAAAAAAAAAAAACCCACACACAAACTATTGCTAAATCTAATCTTACAAGAAGCCAACAACAACAAAACATTTTAAACCCTGCTGTTTAAGAAAGGAGTGTTGGGGATGCTGGATGTGTACCTGTTGGTAAGAAATGCTTCCTGAACCCTGGGCTTTCTGAAGGTCAACCGTCCCCTCATTGGGATAATTAGAGGTTCCTAACCAAAGCTTCATGTCTGTCCATTTCTTACACTCCAGAACCCAGCGGAGAGCAAGGGATTGAGGAATTACACTTTGGTAAACTCATTTGGGGTCAGAAGAGATAGGTGTGACTGGCAGGTACTATAGACTGAATGTTTGTTGTCACCCCAAATCCATATATTGAACCCCTAATCGCCAATGTGATGGTACCTGGCGATGGGCCTTAGGAAGGTAATTAGATCATGAGGGTGAAGCCCCTATGCTGAGATTAGTGCCCTTATGAGAAGAGATATACTGCCATTCTCTCCATCCCATGAGGGCACAACCAAGAGGAGGTTCCTTGTCAGGATCCAAATCAGCCAGAATTCAATCCCAGACTTCCTCGGCTACAGAACTGAGAGAAATCAATTTATGTTGTGTAAGCCACCCAGTCCATGGTATCATGTTATAACAGCCGAAACTGCCTGAGACAGCAGAGAATGGAAAAATACAAACAAACAAACAAAAACCCACCCCAAGACCAGCCAGGGGCCTGTCGACAGTAGGACACGTCTAGGGAGTGTGAAATGTGAGGTGAGGGAAGCAAACCCATGCTTGGCTCTTTGAGCTCTGCTTCTGAACAACTCTTACAGGAAGAATTCAGACCAATGTGCTGCCGTGGGGAGTAAACACATTTTGTCCACGAGTTGGGTATTTTCTCTTTCTTTTATGTTTTGTAATTTTTGTAATGTTTTACGCTTTCTAATTCTTCTTGAACTTGGATCTTCATCTCAGGAGACCACAGGGCCTTATTTGCCCTGATAATCCATTGATTTCACTCAGACACAGTCTGCATCTCAGTCTGGAACCTGTAGTTAATTACTTTTCAGACTCACTTCTACATACTGGGAAACTGACTTTGGTTCCCACCAAGCAAAATGTTTTCCTTCTTTTAAAACTATTACTTGTCAGTGAAATTGCAATTTAAACAACTTCTATTCATTTCCTCCTTATTTTAATGGGGATCTTCTTAGCGATATTCATGCATCTTTTATAAAAATTCACTCACGTAGCATTTATTTACTGAGCACCTACTAGGAATCGGGTACTGAGCTGGGCACTAGGGCGCAGTAGGAAACAAGACAGACAAACATCTCTGCACTCAGGAAATCTGCATTCTTCAGAAGCAAATGTGTAAGGGGGAAAGGGCAAGTCAAGTTAGAGAAAGCTTTTAATTATGATTAGCATAAATGAGGTAATAAAGGTAATGTGAAGAGAGTACCTGTGCAGACCATTTTCCACAGAATGATCTAGGACACACTCTGAAATGGTGACATTTGAACTGAGGGGCATGCCTGAGGCAGCTATCCAAATGACTTGCAGAAGGGTCCGAGGCAGAAGGAACAAGTAGAATGTCTTGGAAAGGTAAGTGGCCTGACCTATCGAAGGAAAAGAAAGGAAGCCATTGCATCTGAAGCTACAGAAGGAGCGACAGAGAGGGAGATGGTTAGAAAGGCTGAAGGGGGAACAGATCTCACAAAACCATATAAAATCTAGAAAGAAGGTCTATTTATTCTAAGGGGGATGGAAGTCAAATGCTTTCAAGGAGGATGGAGACTTGATCTAGTGTACATTTTTTTAAATTAAACTTTTATATTTTGAGGCAATTATAGATTCCCAGGCAGTTGTGAAAAATAAAACAGATCCCATGTACCCTTTTCCCAGGTTCCCCCAATGGTAATGTCTTGCAAAATTACAGTACAGTATAACCACCAAGATACTGAAAGTGATACAATCCACCAATCTTATTCAGATTTCTCACGTTGTATATGTACTTGTGTATTTAGTTCAATGACATTTTTAACAGACTCTATTTTTAGACCAGTTTCAGGTAAACAGAAAAAACAGAGCAGAAAGTACAGAATGTTCCCATGTGTCCCCTGAATCCACACACTCACACCTCTTCCACCATGAACCTCATGTACAATAGTGCTATATTTGTTATCATCCATGACACTACACTGACACATCATAAAGTCCACAGTTCATATTAGGGTTCATTCTTGGTGTTTCATATTCTATGGGTCTTGACAAATGTATAATGACACATCTCCATCATTATAGTATCATATAGAATAGTTTCACTGCCCTAAACATTCTCTGTGCTCCGCCCATCACCTCTCTTTCTTTCCAACCCAGGGCAACCTCTGATCCTTTTACTGTCTCCTTTTTGCCTTTTCCAGAATGTCATATAGTTGGAATCATACAGTAAGTATCTTTTTCCGATTGGCTTCTTTCACTATTAATATGCATTTAAATTTCATCCATGTCTTTTCATGGCTTGACAACTCATTTCTTTTTAGTGCTAAGTAATGTTCCGTTGACTCTATATACCGCAGTTTATTTATCCATTCACCTACTGAAGAACATCTTGGTTGTTTCCAAGTTTTGGCAATTGAATAAAGTGAATAACACTACCATAACAATCTGAGTGTGGACACAGTTTTCAACTCCTTTGGGGAAATGCAAAGGAATGTGATTGCTGGATCATAAAAGTAAATTTAGTTTTGTAAAAAAAAAACTGGCAAACTGTCTTCCACCATGGCTGTATTCCACCACCAGAATGAGTTAAGAGTTTGTTGCTCCATATCCTTGCAAGCATTCAGTGTTGTCAGTGTTCTGGATTTCAACCATTTTAAGAGATGTGTAGTGGTATCTCATTGCTTTT